TTTTAAGATAAAGGTTACGTTTTATGGGATTTAAATGAAGTAATTCCGCATTCAATGTTTATGATATGTATACAGTAGCGACCTTAAATTAAGTAGAAAATTTTGGGTCGTTACACGTGTCATCATACAAACATCAACTTTTAACCGAAACAATAGCAAGGTTAGTTACTTGGTTTGCCTTAGCAAGCCTTCTCCTTATACTTGAGTACAATTGGATTCTGTTTCCCGATGTGGCTCCAAGTATCATCGGAAGTTTCTTTCTATTTGTACGTCCATCTCATTTTCATTAATAACTCACATTTCTTTATGTCGATCTTTTTCTCTATGCTTCCTTCTCCAACAGATGGAAATATCATCTATATATCAAGGGGAGATTGAGGGCGATTTTAAAAAAGAGGTTGCGGTTCGGTTTGCCTGAGTCCCCATATTAAACCCTAGGTTACTAATAGTGGGTTACAAATAGCACATACTATTTTCGTTTGTAACTACTGGGTTACTTAGAAACCATAGGACTCAACGATTGAAATCACCGATTTGTGTTCATCGAAAAACCACAATAATCGTTCATCTTCTCTATTACTTGCATTTCCTTTAATCTAGGGATGTGTTGTGAGGGACGACTGGGGCATGGCTTCATTTTGTGTATACTTCGTGTTGGGGAGGGCACGTGGGTAGAAGGTGCGAGGATTCTGGCACTGCACCGAAATTCTTAGGCCTTTTCAAACGACTGGATTATTATTATTTTTTTTTATAACCATTACGAATACAGTTTAAAATTCAAGTTGATTTTTTTTTCTAGACAACAATGATTTGGTGCAACTTTAGTAGAAATCTTGGACATGCTTCGTGCGAGGTGTTTTGGCCGGATAATCATGTTTGACTTCAAGAACGATGTAACTATTGGCACTACATTTCAGATGTTGATGAGAAGAGTTTTTGAAACCATACGAGTTTCGAAGAAAAAAACAAAGAAAATGCCGGAAATCTCACGATTTACGGTGAAGGTTACTAATAGGACGTACTATTTTCCTAAGTTCCTACATTAAACCCTAAGGTATCTAAGTAGCTTTCTTTTCCTTTGAGTCATTTTGTACCTGTGAAAGAGAAGCAGAAAGATTGAGGTGAGGAATCGATAACGTCCTAAGGCTTTGGACCTTTGTGACTTCTTAGGTAGGAGCGAACCAATGTCGGGGTACTTCATAACAAGAGGGATAGACGCCTCATCAAGGACAAACGTACGACGATAGTGCCATCAGGAATAGTAGTCGAGTTCCACGAGTAGGGTTCGTTTGGACTCTCGGGTGAGGAAGACAGGGCAGCAGATCACGGGTCAAGTTCTTCGGGTACTAGTGAGCTCGCTTCAGCCAACGTACGGCCCATGCCTTGCAACCTATGTTTGGACACTGACTCTAGGTTGCGTACCCAGCGTCTAGAAGTTGTGCGCCGCAAGTAACCTCTTGACTTGTTGGCTCTGTACTTTGGCTTCATCGGCAACTTCGTTGTATTCTACAGCTTATCTTGACAGTGTGGCTTCTCGAGAACTCTGCTTAGCAGCTTGGTATACAAATAATATACCGAATCTAGGTTTTTGATCCTTCTACAGTCTTTTCCGCCCTTGTTTCAACCATCTAAGGTCAGTGTAACTTCATTTTGCTAAAATAGGTTATGATAGAAACGTACCTCTAAGTGTATAATTTGGTTTGATAGGGAGTAGTTAGGCGTCAGAGTTAACCTATCGCGAGTGACTTCAACCAAGGCCAGAGATATAAGTAATCTTACTATTGGTGTTAGTTGAGATGCCATGAATGTGTTGAGAGCTTTGCATGTCATGGATTTGGTGACTTGGAAACTATGATACGCTTACACAATGCTTAAGTAAGCCATGCTATGTAACATGACAAGGGAATGGAATGTTGTATACATAATTCCATGGAATTTAGGGAGAATTCCGACTAAGGCCAACCAAGTGAGTGGTCTTACTATCGAATAGGTTGGACGACTTGTTTAATGTATGACGAGTCTCACTTTATAATGTCGTTTACTATTAAGACTAATTTTTTCATTCGATGACCTAGGTAACTCGATCTTAATCCCGAGCTAACTATGAACTCATGTTTATTCAGAATTATCTTTATATTTGCATGAGTGAGAGTGACACGAGTTCAAACTCATTGAGGTTTAATGCTTTTGAACATAATAGCTAATTTACTATCATTGATGTACTTAGAGTGCCTAAGATCGAAATTTCTTCCGCATGTGTTATAGTAACATCATCAAGCGACAATGGTTGGAACTAGTCAAAGATTATGACATTGATATTCAGTACCACCCCAGGAAGGCCAACATAGTTGCAGATGCCCTAAGCACAGAGACAGCTCATTCATCGACATTAATCACGAAGGAGCCCAAGGTGCAGGCAAACTTCAAGCGAACTGAGATTGCAGTAGTAGCAGTGGAAGATATTTGGGCACAACTAGCTCGATTGACTGTACAGCCCACTCTTTTGAAGAGAATAGTTGAGACTCATGTTGTTGGAAATAAACTTAAATGAGAGAGAAAAAGAAAAAGGAAAGAAGCGGTTATTATTTTTTGTTTTTAAATTCATTAAAAAAAAGCCATATGTATTTTAGGAAAGGAGGGGTTTATGGTTGAGAAAACGTGGGAAGAAAACGTGCAATAGTTATGGTAATATTTAGCGTTACGAAAACTTATAAATAGGCTTTACCTCTCATTGTAATATCATAGCACAAGGTGCAAAGAGCAAAGAGCACAAAGCAATAGAAAAAGGCTTTTAAGATTTTCTTTGTCTCCTTGTCTCTCCCCTATCGACACCCCCCTTCAAAGTTTCGTGAGAGTTATATAAACGAGTTAGTTTTAGAGCGAGCGTCTATTTTCTACAAGTTGGTATCGGAGCGGCTTTTAATTTCAACAAATTGGTATCAGAGCAAATTTATTTTCTACAAATTGGTAACAGAGCCGATAGCGAACATGATTGGACAAATGTCACTACCACGACTTACGAAGATGAACTACAAGAATTGGAGCATCCAAATGAAAGCTCTTCTCGATTCGCAAGACACATGGGAGGTGGTCAAAGAAGGTTTCGAAGAACCGATTGATACCACGGGTTATACGGCAGCGTAAAACAAGGCGCTAAAGGAAGCACGTTCAAAGGATAAGGCAGCATTATGCATGCTATTCTGAGCTGTTGACGAGTCGGGCTTTGAGAAGATTGCAAGGGAAACTACTTCAAAAGAAGCGTGGGACACTCTAGAAAATTTTTCAAAGGAACCGACCGAGTCAAGCAGGTGCGTCTCTAGACTCTGTGTGGCGAGTTGGAAAGCATGAAGATGAAGGAGTCAGAAAATGTATATGACTATATTACACATGTACAGACCGTGGTGAATTAGCTAAATCGAAATGCAGAAATATTACCCGAGATGCGGGTTGTGGAGAAAATCTTGAGGTCGTTAATAAACAACTTCGAGAATGTCATATGTGCCATAGAAGAGTCACAGGACCTGACAAAGTTCACAGTCGATGAGCTTGCAGGTTCTCTAGAGGCACATGAGTAACGCAAGAAAAAGAAGGAGGAACCACTCGATCAAGCGCTTCAGATGGATATGATGAGAAGACAAAAGGATACAAACTAGTTGATCTGATTAGCAAGATTGTGATAGTAAGTCGCGATGTGCGAGTAAATGAAGCAAGCGAATGAAACTGGAACAATTCGACGGAAGTCAATATCGAAGTTGGAGAATCATCAGTCACTGCACCAACAAGTGCACCAACAGACTCAGAAATTTTCGATGATGAAGATGAACCACGACAACCCAAAATGCGAAGTTTGCGAGATTTGTATGACTCAACAGATGAGGTACACCTTGTATGTCTTTTGGAAGATGCTGAAAATATCAGCTTTGAAGAGGCTGTGCGAGACACGAAGTGGCAAACTGCCATGGATGAGGAGATTAAAGCGATCCATCGCAACAACATATGGGAAGTGATAGAATTAACGGAAGGAAGTCAACCCATAGGTGTGAAGTGGGTATTCAAGAAAAAGATGAATGGTCAAGGCGAGATTGAGCGGTACAAAGTGCGACTTGTTGCAAAGGAATACAAGCAAAAGGCGGGAATTGACTATGACGAAGTGTTTGCTCTCGTCGCTAGAATGGAGACAATCTGATTGATTATTTCCCAAGTAGCCCAATTCAAACGGCCGATCTTTCAAATAGATGTCAAGTCAGCATTCCTAAATGGTGTGCTTGAAGAAGAAGTATACCTTGAACAACCTCCTAGGTATGTGAAAATTTGAGAAGAGAAGAAGGTACTTAAATTGAAGAAGGCGCTTTACGCGTTGAAATAAGCACCGTGAGCATGGAATACTCATATTGACACATACTTCAAGGAGAATGGGTACAAGCAATATCCCCACGAACATTCACTTTATATAAAGAAGAGTGGAGGTAATGTGATACTTGTCGCTCTTTATGTCGATGACCTCATCTTCTCAGGCAACAATGATGAAATGATAGAAGAATTCAAAAGCACAATGACGCGAGAATTTGAGATGACAGACTTGGCCTTGTTGAAATTTTTCCTCCGTTTGGAAGTTAAATAAGAAGAAACAGGTATTTTTATATCACAGGAGAAATATGCAAACGAAATTTTGAAGAAGTACAAGATGGAAAATTGCAACCCGGTATCAACACCAATGGAATCAGGTGCAAAGCTCTTAAAGTACGATGAAGGAGAATGAGTAGATGCAAATATGTACTGAAGCCTGGTGGGAAGCCTTCGATATCTTACATGCACAAGGCCAGATCTTTTATTAAGTGTTGGCATAATAAGTCGGTTCATGGAGGAGCCAATTTATTCACATTGGAAGGCGTTGAAGCGAGTTCTACGATACGTCTAAGGAACATTATCACTTGGGTTATTCTACTCAAGAACAGAAGATTACAAGTTAGTTGGTTACTTTGATAGTGATTGGTGCAGAGACATAGACGATCGGAAAAGTACATCGGGCTATGTATTCTTCATGGACAACATAGCTTTTACTTGACTTTCAAAAAAACAACCGATCGTGACACTCTCGACGTGTGAAGCTGAGTATGTAGCAGGATCTTGGTGTGTGTGCCACGCAATATGGCTTAGAAATTTGTTGAGTGAGATGGAGCTAAAGCAATGAGGTGCAACCGTAATACAAGTTGACAACAAATCAGTAATTGAGTTGGCCAAGAATCCAGTGAACCATGAAAGAAGCAAACACATTTACATTCGATTTCATTTTATCTGACATCATGTGAATGAAGGAAATGTGGAATTGCTGCATGTAGCAAGTCAGGATCAAGTTACGGACATCTTTACAAAACCGCTACCGAAAGTACTTCTCGACAAATACAAGAAGATGATTGGCATGACAAATGGTAGGAGCATTTAAGTTTATGGGGGTGTTTTGTTGGAAATAAACTTAAACGAGGGTGAAAAAAAAGGAAAGAAGCTATTATAAGGAACGAGAACCTCTAACGGTCTAAAAAAAAGTTCAATTATTGAAAGTATATTATACAACCGGAAAAAAAGAGTCATTATTGATATTCAACTCCTATGGCGATCTATAAAAAAATATTGATAGTTTGAATGTTTAATGAGAAGTTCAATACTTTAAGTTGAGTCAAGAATTCTTTAATCCTTAATGGTTTATTACAACTTCCTATAGCCTTTATTATTTTAAATTTGTTTTCTTCCTATAGCAAACACATTACAATCATGTGTATGACCTACCATATTAGTCTAAATTCCTTAGGCGGCTATACTAAATGAGTTAATTGGATGTGTATTTACTATTCTACACATGGTCCACATGTGTGAGTACGAACCCATCAGTCGATTCGCACACCTCCTAGGCCCCTTTCATGGTCGGGTGAGAATTCTCTGGAGTTGTTGATGTTGGAGACCCTTTAGGCATAGCGATTGTCGTAGCATTATGATAAACATAATGATCATTTTTTTGCCTCCTAGTGTCGCGTCCATACAATTGTAAAAGTGGGGTATTCCGTGATGCATGAACACCCAATCTTGCATGAGGTCCGAACATTTTTATTCATTATCATGTAATACAACCCCTTCCATTTTTCATTCAAATCATATCATTTTTATCATAGCTTTCCTTACAAAAATTGGGGTTGTGCATTATGTCGACACATTTTTGTCGTATATCATTCATATCATGCATCGTGTTATATCATATCATCAGCATATCATGTACTATATCGCCAAACGTGTTATACCATAACATTTTTCATATCATCAGTACATCATCATATCATGTGTCATAACATTCACGTATCATCAAATAGTCACATTGTATTACGAACATATCATGTTCTTATTATCTCATTAACATATCATAGTCATATTGTTTTGTAAACACAAAGCAACCATATCGTTACATAAACATAACCTAGTCATATTCTTTCATAAACATATCATTGTCATATCATATCATAAACGTATCATGGTCATATCATTTCATAAACATATTCTTATCATATCGTTTCATAAATATGTCATAGTCCTCTCGTTTCATAAACATATCTTAGTCATATCATTTCATACACATATCCTAGTTGTGTCGTTTTCTAAATGTATCCTAGCCATATCATTTAATAAACAGATCCCAGTCATATCATATCATAAAGATATCTTAGACATATCGTTTCATACACACACCATAATCACATCGTTCCGTAATCCTTTCTGACATATCAAGCATATATTACGTGTAGATCCACGAGGCACGTGTCATCATACAAACATCAACTTTTAACCAAACTGATAGTAAGGTCTCTTACTTGGTTTGCGTTAGCAGGCATTCTCCTTACACTCGAGTACAATTGAATTCTTTTTATGGAAGTTGCTCTAAGTATAATCGGAAGTTGTTTCCTATTCGAACGTCCATCTTGTTTTCATTAATAACTCACATTATCAAAATGTCTATCTTAATTGCCTTAATTGTCAAATGGTAGAGTTTTGAGTAGAGAAGCTACACCAAGTCGAGCAAAGCTGCGTTGAGTCGACGAAGCTAAAGGAGTCAACGTCTACATGGGCGACATAGATACAAAACATTTTAAAATAAAAGGGTTGAAGGACGATGGGAGAGGTTTGTCTATGGCATCTGCTCCAGAGTCTGCTCCCGACCTCGACCAGCTCCTTATTACCTGAAAAAAAAATGGAGAATAGGGAATGAGTACAAAGACTTGCTCTTAATCGTGTCCTTGATATGCTAGGGTACCACACTCTTTCTTTTCTTGTTATTGTTCTTGTTCTTGTCATAAGTTTCTTGTTCGGTTTTCTTAATTCGTTCTCCAAGACACTCCCCTTAGGATTTACGGTACTAGACATAAACTTCCTAAGAAGAGATGTTTGAGGATGGTAGCTTGAGGAGACGTTTCAAGTCGTTCCCAAGAAGGCGAATAACTCAGTCTAGAATGTGCCAATGAATTTACCATCCCTATTGCTGATGATGCTTGATGGAATGCCCTATAGCTTCATAATGTGTTTGAAAAATAGTTGGACTTTTAGTTCGAACGAGCATATTTTAGGGGTGGAAATGAACATTGCATACTTCGAAAATCGGTCTATGATAACCAAGATGGCTTCATACTCACCGACTTTTGGCTAGTTCAACAACGGCTTTGGTCGACGGGTCTTGAAGTAAATGTTCTTTTATGATGTCGTGCATCGATCCATCGATCTTACTTAAGTGAATATGGGCTAACATGTACAGGGCTGCATGATCGCCCTTCCGACTCAGTGCGTTGGTTGCTTGGTTGCTCTTTCCTATTTTGTGTTCAAATTTGAAGTCGAATTCAGCTAACGACTCTTGCCATCGAGCTTGTTTTGTCGTTAACTTCGGTTGATCAAAGAAACAGCAAATTGCACTATTGTCCGTCTTCACCACGAAGTGTGATCCCCAGAAGTACTATCTCAAGACTCGTAGGCAATGCACAATAGCTAGCATTTCTTTTTCAGAGATAGTGTACCTCCTTTCTGCATCATTGAGCTTTTGACTTTCATAAGCGATGGGGTGGCCTTCTTGGATAAGGACACTGCCTAGGGTAAAGTTGGAAGTATCCGTCTCTACTTCAAATGGCTTAGAAACATCCACAAATTTGAGGACATGACCCCTCGTCATGGTTGTCTTCAGATCTTCAAAGGCCATTTGACATTTGTTTGACCACGACCATGGCTGGTCTTTCTTTAAAAGTTTTATTAAAGGGGCGGCTCGTCACGAAAACCCTTCAACGAACCGCCTATAATAGTTTGCCAATCCTAGGAAGGATCGTACATCAGATACTAAAGTAAGAGTTTTTCACTCTTGGATAACTTTTATCGTCGCTATACATACTGATCTGCCCACAACTGATGACATGTCCAAGGAAGTTGATGCATGTTTGTGCGAATGCACATTTTTCTTTCTTGACATACAAATGATTCTGCCGCAGCTTGTCGAACAGTAGCTTTAGATGCATCTTGTGCTCTTCTAGGGTTGCGCTGTATACAACTATGTCATTGAGGTATACTACGATGAATTGATCCAAGTATTCGTGGAAAACCTGGTTCATTAATGTGCAAAACGTAGTTGGGGTGTTTGTCAGACCAAATGACATTACTAGGAATTCGAAAGCCCCGTATCTTTTTACACACGTCGTCTTGGGCTCATCTCCTTCGGCGATACGTAATTGGTAGTACTCTGATCGTAAGTCCAGCTTCGTGAAGTATTTGGCCCCATGAAGCTGGGCAAACAAGTTGGATATTATCGGTAGTGGGAATTTGTTGCGTACAGTCACCATGTTTAAGGCTCTATAGTCTATGCACAAACGTAACGTCCCATGGAATGACATAAAGGATTTGGCTTGGCATGGGCATGTGGCCATGGGCAATGCACCCTGGACGAGCATGATTGTGACACCCTACACCATGTTATAGGAAACCTAAGATATGAAAGATGTCATGTTCATGTTTGCATCGATCGTGTGACCTTTTTGGTCTTTCATGTGGAGTAATCTGGGGCCGTGATGGAACAAGAAAAGAGTAAAATGACCTTAGCTACGAATCAAGAACCTAGACTACCGCAGGAACCTCCTAACACCTTCCATGATACGAAATGCTCGTGTTAGACTTCACTACTTGGCATGTATGAAACCTTGAGCGTAGGTATTTAGACTATGCCTCTAGAAAAGTATGAAGTCTTAGGCACAAGTATTCAGGTTGTATCCTAGGTGATAAGAATCACGGTGTTCCAAATGCTCCAACTGGACCTATTACACGATCCAAGGCCAAGAAGATTCAACAAGCATTCATGTGTTACAAGATGATTCGATTAAAGAAGGACCATTTTGAGCTTCAGGAGTGAATATTTGCATGGTTGAAGTAGCGGATGAAGTTGCAAGTATCATTTCATGAGTTGTTAGAAAACTTTATTTATTATTTTTCTTTAATTTCATAAACTTTGTAATGATCAAATTGACTTCGTCTTTTGTGGAGATGTAAGAGGATCGAGATTAAATCTCGGCCACTAACTTCTTTTATAAGGAGACTATAAATACCCACAAATTATTATGTAAAAATTAGATTTGTGATCAACGAAATTGATCTCTCAAGTTGAGATGTTCCCCCTTAGAAATCCGAGCATCAGTTTTTCTATTTCTAAGTTTCATGCAATTCTTGTGGTAGATTGCATCTGAGTCATTCAATCAAGCCTTGATCAAGTTCGATTGTTGAGTGACTTAATTTAGAACAAGGTTCCAATTCTTGCTTCTAGATCTTTGATCGTAAGAGGTAATCTAATTCGTGGCTTATCTCTTGGTTATCCAAATTTTGTATAAGGAGGTGTTAATTTCTTTGACTCAGGGTTCTTACTTCAACAAAAACTTGGATCATTGGGCTGAGGATTAGGGTTGCCTCATCAATAGGGTAAGCACAGGATGCAGGATTAGACTACATTGCTTAGAACAAAAAACACCTTGAATGTAGGTTTTCATACAATACCGCTTTGAATGCATAAAACCTACAG